TATGTTTAACAGCTTTCATTACATTTCTATATTGAGTCGCCTGTGTCTGACACTTGTCTTAGTGTATATAAAATAAAGAAACACATTTGGTTTAAAGGAACTTCGAAGGAGAGAAAGTGTCCTGCATATCTGCATCTATTTCGGCAGAAGGGCTTGCTCTGCCGGTGCAACGGGGTGGCTTGCCATGGACAGCTAGGCCCAGGTTGGGCGGGCACCTTCGGTTTGATGTGTTTGCATTCTCTCCGGCAGGGTTCCTGAGTCAAAACCTCACACTGGGCTCAGCTGCCCCTTTGTAATTAAATGTTAATGATTTAGGCTGAATGTTTGGGTTTTGGCACACATTTAATAGTTTTAGCATTTAAATGGTCCCAAGTCGTCTCTGAAACAAGACGACGTTGCATCTTCTTGCGGTGGGGGAGGGGCATGCGTGCTGCTGATGGTGCCTTGGTTTGGCACATGACTGCAAATGGGTGGTGACCAGGTACAGATCTTCAGAATAGAATCCACTTCTCTTAATGGATCGATTCATAGGCGCAGCCAATGGTTTTCTGTGCATCTGGGCAAAGCGGTTTACATCTCTCTCCCTGTCTCTCTCAGCTGGGGAGGACCCTTCTAATATACTACCTTCGTTATTATTGTTGTTCTCATCCTCACAACCATGCTCTTGAAGCCTCTTAGCATGTGAGGAGAGATGAAGGCAGTACAAACATAAATCATTTGTGCGGTAGTCCAAGCTAACCCAAGAGTCAAATCAGACATTATTTTAGATCTATATCAAACACAGATCTCTTCCCCCACCACCTTTTTATTCCAGAATTGGTGCAAGTCCCAAATCTGGTTCTCAAAAGCCTACACACCAACCAACCCATTCTGATCAGGCCTCCTATATCTACACTAGTGTAAAAATGAAAAAATAAAATAAAATCCTGATGTAGTTATGAAATTAGAGTTTAGAGTCATGTCTGTTCTGGCCCAGTAAGTGCCATGGTAACTCAGAATCAGGGGTCACAGAACTTCAGGACATCCTAGACGGCTGGGCAAAAATTACACTGGCAGATCCAGCTTGATGGACAGAAGGAGAGAGCGCCAGTAAAAGAGCAGCGGCTTTTCCAAAGAGGGTCCTCCTAACAGCTGATATCTGAAGTGGTGCCACTCTTTCTAGGCACACAGTCTTCATTTTTATGCAGACAAAACATTGTACCTATGTATTTCAGCCTCACCTTACACCTTCATACACTGCAAGCAGCTGTTTATGGGATATGAGGGAGGGAGGATGGTTGAATCCAGATTAGGCATGTGCCAGGGGGCAAGCTTCCCTGTGCCTGTATGTCCACAGCAGCCTCTCCACCCCCCGTAAAATGCTACAGGGAGGGTCAGGAGAGCCTGATGAATTGGGTGAGCTTCAGTGGGGGTATCGGTGGGGAAGTTCCCCGAAAAGCAGACAAAGGCTTCTTTTGTGAGTGGAGGCCTCCAGCAGAAGACAGGCCTTGGATCCAACACTGTGTGCATGTGAGTGTTTGGGGGGGTCCGGTCAAAAGTAAGCACAAGTCCTCAATCTGGGTTGGAACAACAGTGCATGGGGAAATTATTTTATTTGCATTACAATTATATCCCACTTTTTTCCTCTTGTAAAGAACACAAGGGGGCCATCATAGTCCTCCATTCCAACCCTTGGCACAACAGCCCTGTGAGGTGGGTTAAACGTAGAGTGAGTGAATGGCCCGTAGTCACCCAGTGAGTGTCATGGTCCAGTGGGACTGGAGCCCTGGTCTCCTGGGCCCCCAGCCCAGCGTTCCAACCATCACGCTACACTGGCGCTCTTTCCGTTCCCCTGAAAACACACACAGAGCCCTTCTGGAGTTTAGGCAGACATGGAAATGGGTGCGCAATCTGCCATTGGATGCAAGGAGAAACTCTCATTAACTGCTATGAGGGATTTGTGCTGGACTCTCAAATCAGACTGAAGAGAACATGCTAATTTTGAACAGAGGAAATCCCCATACAAAGCTGCATGCAATGTACTAAACATAACATTGGTTGACCCTCATTGTGCTGGATTTCTGCAAGAACCCTGATTAGTTCTATTTCTTCCTAGCCAGGCTTATGTTCACTTCCTTGAACTGTTTGTTATTTCTGCCACTGCTAACAATGCACAATAATTGGTTTCTTGCGCATATATTATAGATGTCATGAGCAATAGGTTGGATGCTATGTTGGCATCCTTCCACATGAGGAAACCATCCTGCAGGAATGCAACGTGGCACATTCTTCTAGAGAACCTTGCAAGTAAAGTGCAACTCAGTCCAAGATGTTCTTCCCGCTTCACACAAACGAGCACATGGCCAGTGTGGTGCATCTTGTTCTTTCACTGGGGGCACCATCCGCTCCCACATTAGCATGTCTATCTGGTAAGTTTGGCTTTGCAGGTGCTCCAAGCAGGGTCTTTTTAGTCACAGAGCTTCACCTCTGGAATGCTTTTGTCCTCTCTGTGGCAAGGTATGTTTCTGCCTTTCATGTGCTCCTCTTTGTGTGCAAATGAGTGTGTGAATGTGTGTGTGAGAGAGAGTGTACATATGCAGATATGAAAGGATTTATTTTTAACACTGTCAGTTAAGGGTTTTACTAGCTGCCTTTTATAATTAAAAACTTTCCCCTCAGATCTCCCTTCCTGTAACTATTCTGATGCCTGAAGTTTTAATCCTTCATTACCAGTTAAAACAAAATCACCAATTAGGCACATGAACACGTCTGTATTAATCTCATTAAGGTGATGGCACCAAATAAATTGGAACTATTTTTGTGCTTCCACTGTGCTCCCATGGCTTTATCAGGCCCTGTGGTCATATGCAAGGACCTTCCAGCTTAGTCATTTAGAGTCATTCGGTTGTGGACTAAATGTGGCATTACCATCTATGGCTGAAATTGCTTTCAGCTTTTAAACTGCACTGACTAGTCTGTAGTTAATCTTAGATCATTCACTCGCAAAATTAAATGAGCCAGAACGAAGGCCTCTTTCCTTTCTTTCCCCCCTCTTTTTTTTTTTTTTTGTAAAATAATACATCACAAAACACTTATTTGCCCTGCCCAAAAGAGAGATCAAATTCATTTAAAATCCCATAAACCAGAGTTGTGAATTTTTAATTTTATTTAGTAGTACAGAAATAGAGGGTAAGCTAACTTTTCCAAGCACATCATTGCTGTAAATTTACATATGGAATATAGGATGATGTGTAACCAATCTTTAATCTACCTTTGATCTATACATCTACTTTAGCAGAGATCACATGACACTCATTATTGCAAATCAAAGCAGGACTGTTTGAGCTTACTCATGTAATTAATCATAAACAATATTTTTAAATATACATGCATTTATCACTTGGATTGTCTATACAGTCTTTTTTTACAAATCACAAATGTGTAACTTGAAGAAACTGAACCATTCCAGAGATTCCTATATTGTCTGAGCAAGGAGTTTTTTATGTATATTACACTGCAGGTAGCAATAACCTAGGTCAGATTGTTAAATATATTCCAAAGAAGAAATCATATCAGTAATCCATTATTCCTGCGATACTTTAGCTAGTTGAAACCATATTATGCTGAATGAAAGTAAGTGGAAAGGGAAGTGTGGATTAATTCCAGTGTAGTCACCACTTCTCAACAGCAAAATCACAAATGAAAACATTTAAAAAGCAGGGGAGGAGTGGGAGAAAGGAGCTTTCTGGTTCAGCTTTAATCATTGGGCATCTTGGCTGTGACATCAGAGCCATGTTGCACCCAGAGAATCCGCCCTGAACTCTACCTGTGGCTCCTTCGTTCGCCCACATTTCTGGTATATTTCTGTCTGGCGGCTCTTTCACCAAGCAACTTTGCTCCTTCATGGAATTACGGCAGAGCTCACAAACAAGAGGCATGACTTCATTTCGCATGGGCGCAATTCGGCACAGTGAGAACGTGTTGTGGATTGGTTCAGTGGTTCCTGCGGAAGTCCGCTGGGCGTGAGGGTCACATTGGAGAAATGAGAACCAGGCTCTCTGGGCACACGGCCTGCATGGGTGGCACAGTCAAAGGCGGGAGGGAGGTGTGGGACTGTTCCCAAGGGGAAAGGAATGGGAGGAGAAAGGGGAGGGTAAGTCAAGTCAAAAGACCTGCTCAGACAGGCAAGGCTGGCACGCGTTCAAGGAAACATACAAAGACTGGTCCACAGAAACAAATGACATCTTTTCCCTTCAGCACAGGAGTAGAAAAGTGACCCAAGTGCATGCAACTCCTCAACGACAACAAAAATGAACATATATGAGACCAGTCTCACTTTTGATATGTTGTTGATTTGGCTTAGTTCCAATATCAGTTGGAAATAAATGTTAAAGGTAGACGGGACAATCAGTGCAGAAGTTGGCACAGGTGCCAGAAGCTGCAGCAGGCACACATTATTCATCCCAGCAGTTTCATAGCATTCTCTCCCAAACTCCCTTCATTCAAACTAGCTGTCAAACAACCCGCTGACAGTTATTTATCTGGACTTTCAGTCCATCTTTAACTTCTGTTTTGCAAGGAGCCACAAGAATAGATTTGGTTCTGGCTTCAGCTTATGCAAGTATATCTTTTCCCATCTTAACCTTTTCCCAAGATGTTATTTTCCTATTATTATTATTATTATTATTATTATTATTATTATTATTATTTAAAAATCCTCTTAAAAGCTAACCTTCTTGTCATCCAAAACACTGGCCATGTGACATATGCAACTTTGTGAGAAACTTTAAAAAAGAATCTACTCCAGTTTTATTGCTCAGCTCTCCAGGACTGTAGTTATGTTGTGTGTGTGTGTGTGTGTGTGTGTGTGTGTGTGTGTGTGAGAGAGAGAGAGAGAGAGAGAGAGAGAGAGAGAGAGAGAGAGAGATTTTCTGAGTCACATTTTAAAACAAAAGTAAATCTTCAACTATTTCATGCAAATACTGATCTGTTAGTCACTCTTCTCATCAGGGGGGAAAAATCTCCATATTTTGTTTATTCTGTAAAATATTCTGTCTCTCTTTTTTTAATAGCCTGAACCAAATAATTTCTCATTTTTACAGGCTTCACTTCCCTTTTCTCACAGTGAATAAATTGCAACTTATTTCCATGAAATTCACAGATGACACAGATCTTTATTTTGCATAAAGGCATAAAGAAGTGTCTAATATCTTCAATATTCATCTGCTAAGTGGACATTTGCATTGGGTTAGAACAGGAAAAAAAGAGCCACAACCCTCCCGCAGTGACAGCTGTACAAAGGGATGACATCTGACAGCTGTGACAGTGCTGAAGGGAGGCTCAGATGACTCGCTGCATCTATGATCCAATTACAGCGCACGTCCCTCTGACAGACCCAGCAGCTTGACTCCAGCATTCGGAAGGACAGTATTGATCTCTTGTCAGAGACCAGTTGCCTGCCTGCAATTGTGCATTGCTGAACTTTGAAAAGCTACAGTAGCCTCTTAAATGATAGGGGCAGGCAGGTTATAGGATTCAGGTACAAAGAGAGGTGCAAAGGGTATCTGCTAAATGCTCTAAACTTGAACAAATCATAACAATATGACAGTCCAATCATGCCCAAGTAGCCTGGCTGATCTGGCTAGCTTGCCGGCGGTGCTAATGGAGAGACAGCTCTCGGAGGTTAGCCGGATGATCTTACTTGATGAAAAGGCCACTGCAATTAGTGGGTGCTGGTTGGTTGTGCCGTGTGACAGCATGCGGGATGCTGTAATGGCAGCTGCCAATAACTCAGACTTCGAGGAAACAGACAATTAGGCCTTTGATCCTGACACCGCCATGCCTTCCCCTCTCTGCTCCCTGCGTACGGCAGAAACCATGAGGTCAGCAAGCTGCAAATCCCACAAGTCAAAGGCAACCTGGGAAGAAGGCCTAGTATTCGTATTAGTATTATTAGTATTACCACGATTACCACGAGTCTTCCTCTACAGTGCAAGGTGGTGACCCAAGTCTGGTTTCCAGTTTAATGTGCAGGTTATGAAAAGATGCAGTCAGGAATTACTATTGATTGAATATTAGAAAGTGACAAAAAAGCTAAAAGGTCAAAGGCACAGTGATTAATCACAAAGTAATAGATCCAGCATATAGAGGAATTCATGATACAAATGTTATTTGGTGAAACATATATACAGATTTACATGACATGTATGCACACCACATGCAGAGAGAGTGGGGAGGGGGGAGAGAGAGAGAGAGATTAGATTCTACCATTTAACAATGATGATATGCATTTACTACATCCTGGCAAAACCATCCTGTGTAAAAGCCACTGGGCAATATGGGTTACTAATCTACTGATTTGGTATTCTAATGGGTCCCGATTGTCTCTTTCCTGTACATACAAAACTTCCACTGAAGTCAAGTACCCTTGACATGCATCTGAGGGATAAGATGACTGCACACCAAAATGTAAAGGGCTGAAAGCAAAGTAGAGGATTCAGAATGCTTCCATGGATAATGCTGACAGCACACCACCAAGGCTGCTTCCTAAAATTGCTTCGAACATTTCTATGCTTACCTCTTTAACATGCAAAGGGAACATAGTTCACAGGAATGGTAACAGAAAAAGCAGCAAAGTAAAGTCAGTCCTGAGTGCCAAACCGGTGCATTTTCTATAACGTTCGGCATGGGAAACTTCATTTCCATAAGGAAGCGTCTCCGTTGGCTGAAAATGGGAGCATTCAATGTTCTCAACACTTGCCAAGCTCTTTCCACCACCCCAAAGAAAGGACAACCTTCATGCAGGCTTTGTGCTGAACAACACTCTTCCATTGCTGTTTTGTGTGTTTCCTCATGAGCAAAGAGGACAACGTTCTGTTTGGGAAAGTGATCTAGAAAGGCTCTGGTCGATAAGGGCAAAGTGAACTGGAGCATTTCCTACAAGATTCCTCTCTGGAAAAGGGCAAAGGAGTGTCCACACCCTCTACACCAGGGGTGTCAGGCTTCTTTTGGCTGGAGTGCAGCAATGCGGTGATTAAATTCTCATTTCAGAAAAGCTCTGGGCAGTTCCAGTCCAGTGATGGGAGAGGCCAAGAGGAAAGGCAGAGACCCAATGGAAAAAGTATCAGGACCACCACCAGCCCACAAATTATCCCCAGCACATTTTAGCTGCAGGGAACTAGCCTCAAAATAGGCTTTCAGAATGAAGCAAAAAGCTACACAAAAGCCAAGAAACCACTGAAGAAAGGCTGGTCAGGGCAGCCAGGAGGACAGGGTGCTGGTGTCTGGAGAAGCGGTCATCTGAATGGTTGTAGGAGGACCCCCAGATAACTGGATTTCCCATTCTGAGCAAAGCAGCTCTACAACACCAGTCAGACACTCTGGAAAAACCCCTGAGATTTCAGGAGTCCTGTACAAGCAGTATTTAAGCTCCACCTCAAGCCTGGATTCTGTGACAATGTGTGGCAAGACTGTTATTGTTTAAATCAATCCTAGATGCGGAAGGGCAGTGTCGATTTTCTTGAGACTTCATTGTGTGGGGAGTTTTCACCTCTCCCTCCATGACCATGAGTCATCCTCATGTTGGATCTAACTTCTCCACACTGCAGCTCATTGAGAGCTTCTTTTTTCCCTCAGGTTAACTGAATTCAGTGAATGCCCCTTTGAAGCTTCATAATGCCCCTTCTCTAACTTTCCCCTGTACATCTGTGTAATTATTTTTACTGCCAGATACTGCCTAAATTTTAGAGTTCCCAGTTGGGTGTTCTTAGAAGTCTTTTGTACCTACAATCTTCAGATGGTTCCAGAAAAAGGTCTTCTTGTGCGAAACATAGTCTAACTTAGTCTAGAAGTGTAATAGTGCTCTTTTTCTGCACTTCATCTTCCAATAGACTCCACCAGGTAAAGACTTTTGCATTTACCTTTTTAAATGTATCTTGCACGAAGAGCTTGTTCATAGGTCATGACAGCCTACCCTCAAATATGCTGTGAGTTAAACAGTCCCTGCTGCTCAACTGACTTTATGGCTACACCTCGATGCTGTCCTTGGGCACCTTGCTACCTTGATAGAACAATTCAAAATTATGCTCCTGTGTATTTTACTAAATCTGCTCATCTGGTGGACAACTAGTTTGGGAAGACCCAATAGTTGGCCATCTGGCAGAACACAGCCAGGGTCACCTTGGAAGGCAGTTTCACCAGCACAGTTAAGCTTTTGTATTTGTACTTGCATTTGCATATTTTATTTCATTTTTGGTCCTAATCATTCACGTTCTGGAATGTTTTATCCACTAAAGGGAGGGTGATAGTTTGCAGATAGGTAGGGGAAGGCACCTGCTTTTCATGCAGGCAGGTTCTATCCCCAGCACTCCAGGTAGCGCTGGGAAAACACTGGCCTGAAACCTGGAAAGCCACTGCCACTCCGTGGGCCGACGTGGTAAAAGACCACTTCCTGTGATCTGATGGTTTGCCTGCCCTGGCCACACACAGTGACAGTTCTCAGATCGCTGCCATCTTGTGTGAAATAATGGAATTCTGCAGAAACAGCAAAGTGCCATGAATTCTAAGAAAATGGACTCAAAAGTCCATTATTGTGCACACATTGGTATAAAACTCCTTATAGGGATATCATTTCAAAATAGAACATTAAAACCAGAAGGTTACCTGATGGTGATTTTTCAGGTTCTTGGTGATCCTCAGTTTTCTTGACAGTGAAGTGACTACAGTTGGAATAACTGGCATGCTGCCTGCAGATGAAGTATCAGCCACTACTAATGTTCAGGAGTGGTCAAAACTCAAGAAGATTCTGGTAGAGCTCTAGGGTGCTGGAACAGAAGGTTCTGGTGCATCACGCTGTGTGGAGAATGCATGCGTGCATACAAACACACACTGTCTTATGCCAGGAACTAGAAAACAACGCCAGACCAGGCTTCCACGGAGGAGCTGCCAGGTGCATGAACAAGTGGCATTGCCGAAAACTTGGTCAGCCTACAAACACCGGCTCTTCATTAACCTCTGAAGAACTGTATTGACTTAACCAACTTAACTAATAGCTTCAAGTGGCTTAACTAAGACTGAAGAAGGCCTTTCCATGAAAGAATAATACATAGAACAATTTTAGCATGCTTCATTAATACCTCATTAATTTGCTCTGAACTGAAGTTGTCTTTTGATTGTGATATTCCTTACTAGCAATTCTTAATTGTTGACATTAAAAAAAAATATGCTGAGCTGAGCAAAGAGGAATGTTGGCTACAGTGCACACTTTACTTCTGAGTCTCAAAAATTAAGCATAACTGGCACAGTAGCTTAATAACCTCTCTCAAGAACCATAGTTCAATCCCTCGTGCCATCAGAAAGGTTAGGCATTTAAATCTTGGCAAATAGGCAGTTTATGAATCTCTCTGCACACAGGAAATGGAGTCAGTACAGAAAATCTAGAAGACTACAAGAACTATTCTCCTTATGAAAAGTGGAAGAGCATATCCAGACACTCCTTCTCCTAGATGTGGACTGCCTGAATTATGCATGTACAGTATTTATTAAGTTCCCCCTCCAAAAAAAGTATTTTTATGCATAGGCACTAGAAAACATATTGATAGAATTACAGGGACTGAACTGAAAAATTATTATAGTTCAGTAAACATTGTGTGGATGACCAGCCTTGTACTGAGTTAATACTTATGAGCAGCCTTGCAATGTATTATAAATTTTAAACACTGACACCAAATGAAAATATCAGTGTTGAAGGGCAAAGCCAAAGCTCAAAATTTCAAATGTTAGTACTCAGTTTCAAAATTTGGCATTCTTGAAGATTTAACTATTGATTAGCATTCTAATCAATATTCATACTTGATACCTCTGAAACATTGCAAATAATGCAGTCAAATTAAAATTGTTTTCATTTCAAATATGCTTATTTAAAATGAAGTACCAGGAGGGAGCAGTTATTTATCGTTCTTTTGGAATCTGCATCTTGATCACACGCTGTGTCTCCATGTTCCCGAGCAAACCATTTTACTTTTCATTCCCACCTCCTTACCATTTTATAGCAGCACCAAGTCATGCTCCGTGCTTTCTCTACTAGATCAGTCGATCACCATCCCTTTGGAGATCAGATCCATGGTCTGCCATCTTGGGTGGCCTGGTGGACAGCTTCCAACCCTGGACTTCTCCCACCCCCAGTCACACTCCTGCCCCTGGCCTGCTGCCAAATTTGGCAGTGACAAGAACAAATTGGCATTTTGCTGACAACCCGGTCTGAGCCTTAGCTTGGAAACAAGCAGCATTTTGCCTTTAAACCCCCATTTTAATTTTGCCTGGTGCGATTACAGGAGCGGAGAGGGTTGAGACAATGTGTTATCCACACCTCTATCACGGACTGACCTTATGCAAGGCACCTGCTTGTTGCTCAAGTTCTACTCCTTATATCGTTAGCCGTGCAGCCTTATTTGCTCACAGGTCTGATTCACACAGTGTTTCTGATATGCTAGTGATGCCGCACAGTCATGATCAGTTGACATATTTTTAGGTGACTCACCAGTTTGGTAATTAAGTGCACAGTCAATGACTGTGACTCACCATGTCCTGATGCACATGGTCCCCAGCAATCTCGATGTGTCAGGGAAGTCAAGAAGCCAAGCATACGCTCATTTGAAACAGAGACAAAATGAGGAAGGGTGGACTCATTCGATCATTGTTATAGTAAAATGTTTGTGTGAATCAGCTCCTGAGTGTGAAGTATAACAGAGATGGGAAAAGCAAGATGGCTATACCTGAAAATTAGGAAAGAATTGAGCGTGGAAGCAGAACGGACCATGAAAAAATCATTTCTTTCTGACCTTACTTCATCTGTTTTTAGACATATGCACACCACTGTCCTGAGCACATTTTTTCACTTTTTATTTCTCAGCCCTCTTCCATATTCCAGTAATACGAATTCGTATTTCTCACATTCTGTAATTCCACTACAACTGTGCTCAGCCAATGGCTTGTGAGATACCCAAACTGAATAGGCAACCGAGGTTGACTACATCGGGGTGCTATTGTACCCAACCTTGGAGAAACATCATTAACACAAAAGAACCAAAATGGCCAATCTTCTTGTCATTAATTAGCAATGGAGAGCCTTGCAGTCACTGCACACACGATGACCAAAGCTGTGATAAATATTAGCTAGTTTCAATTTTCCAATCCAAACTGTGTATTTAAGTGGGGCAGAAATATTTATACCACTTAGATCATGCAAATACTTAATTAAGCATCACAGACTGCTTTTCTATGATAGACCCTTAGCACCTTTAAGGAAAAAATAGCACCTTGGTATACTAAGCAATGATGCTATTCTGCAAACTCAGATAGCGTTAGCAGAGGTCTCCCAAATCTTTCTGCTGCACCAGCAATTGCTTATTACAATTGTCCAGTGGATTGCAACACATTGCGTAAAAGCAAGGCACAACTAGTAGCGCACTGGATTGTGTAATGGGTTATGTATGTGTTATGCACCACTCACTTCACAGCCACACTTGCGCAATGGAACTTTTGTCGAATTCTGCCTTGTGCACAGTTTGGAACCCAGTTTCCACTAGTGTGGTGTAATTTACAACAGGGCAACACCACAGTTCGATCCTGCCCAAAGTATTCCCTGCTGCTTTCTTATCAGTCATGCGAGGGATTCTTCCCAAGCAGAGCTCAGCTAAGTGCTGCTCAGCCATTTGCCTGAACCCATGAAGGCTAAGAGTAGGTGGAGAGATGGGGCTGTGACCCCGGCCATGCCCCAGGTTCCTCATGCCTGTCCCCTCAGTTCTCGATCTTCCCTCATGGGTAATGGAGTTCTAAAGAGCAGATCTACTGATGTTCACTTGAAGATGAACATCAGTAGATCTGTGTAATGGGAGACCCTGATCGAGTACAAAGAATTCCATGTTGTTCAGGCAAATGTAAGTCAAGATCCAAGGCCGAGAACTGAAGGGTCCAAGGCCCAGCACACAGAGGAATCTTGGGAGTCACAGAATCATAGAATACTGGAGTTGGAAGGGGCCATGAAGGCCATTGAGTCCAGCCCCCTGCTGTTGCAGGACACCACATTACACCATCCCACTCAGATGGTGCAGCTCCGAATTCTCTGCATACTCTTAGGACTCACAAGTGCTTAAACAGGACTACAAGGAGACTGCAGTGCTAGGACACAACCCCTGCTACTGCATGGCAGTAAGTCACATAGTTCAACACGACCACTCACATTTTATTTAATACCACCAAAAATCAATCAGGACAATTTCAACAAGAGGTGCTAGAAAAGGGAGGTATAAAGGAAAAGTTCACCCCTAATTTGCATGAATACTGCAGACTGGTTCTTTATTGCTCTACAAGACTATTTAACTGAACTGCAGCTTTGGGACAGCACTTCTGAAATGACAATTTGGGAAAGTAAATACAGGGCATTTTTGGTGGTGGCACTCCCTCCTTCGAACAGCTTTCCCATATCTTTTCATCTCTACCAACTGCAATGAGGTCAGTTAAAATGTTTACTGTTTATTGAGATTCTCAGTGCTATTTCAAAATGCAGTTTTAATTTAGGGTGATGAGCAAATCAACTTGTTTCTGTTCCAAATGAAAGCAATGTTTCTCACGCGGTTCGTTGATCATTGCACTACAGAGTTTTGTATGTCACAGACTATGAGAACCATCGGTACCAGGCAGTGTATCCCGAATATGTTAAATAAATATACAAACAGTTGAGGAATGTGCAACATCTATACCAAAAAAGTACTGTTTTGAAATAATATTGAGCTATTTTACTGTTTGGATACATGCCATACTTACGTGCTACAAAAATAGAATCTACATTTTACTCTTTTCCTTCCTAAGCACCATTAACAGGATCAAACTGTTCTTATTATCACATTGGGAAACAAGCATAATCTACAGCTCCTTATCTGAACCACTTGCAAACGGTTTAGCATATACATTTTTGCATTGATTTCCTCCCCAGTGCCCTCTCTCTTTCCCTCTTAGTCTTTTTATAGACTCCTTGACATCAATACACTAGAATGAGCATTAATGTTATCTGCCAGAACCATTGTATCTGGGAATTGCTGCGCCTGGTTACACTAAAGCTTTCTTAGACTATTCCTAATGCCATGTGAAATTAGGAGTTATTTAGACTGTAGAATGATACAGATGAAATGTTGCACAAATAATATACTGTTTTCGACCATGTCTTATGAACTGGAGCCTGTGGAGTTTGGGAGTTGTTTTTCAGCCCTTACCTCTATATTACCATTCTACCAGAATCGTGCAGAAGATATTTGAATGGAGAAGAGTATCCCTATTAATCGCAGAAAAGTTCTGATCTTGCTTGCCCATGGAAAGTTGACATGATTTTCAGCACAGAGTTAGTCTCAAATAAGAGGGAGGTTTTATTATGATAATGAAGTGACCTGCAAGGAGCATTGTATACAACAGAATATGTATGCAAAATTATTGCTCATCTTTTTTGAGAATTGCTATGGAAATAAACACTCAGAATTGGTGCAGTAAAAGATATCATCTACCTATTACATGGCTCTCTATCAGTTTATTCATGCACATTAAGAACTCTTTCTCTGCTGAATCTGGAGTTCATTCTGAAAATTAACTTCTAAAAGGACTTGGCTGGCCATACAGTTGCAGTACCACCCCAATCCTGTGGTGTCCATATCCCATCCTGGTTCAGGAGATGTTGCCTGTGCAAATGGCTGCATGAGGAAATCCAAGAGGATTCTTTGCACTGCCATACAAACGCTGCAACACAGGGCCGAACTACACATTACACTAACTGGGTAGTGTGACGTTCAGGGCTATCTTTGTATATATTCTGGTATAAACATACAGCCCCAGTTGGGCTCAGGACTATAATACTCTGGTGAGCAGCACTAAACCTTCCTGTCGCCACCATATTCTTTCTCAAATCCCCTCACTCTGCTGATGATTAACAAAAGAAAGAGAAAACCTCCATTGGTACACTGTGCTGATTCGCATGTAACACTAAACCTCCATGGGTTAATTAACCTGCTGGGCTACCTGACACACATCGGTCACCATTTTGGATATGCAAGCCATGCCGAGAACATGCATGCTGCAGCTTGCACTGCTGTGTGAACCCCAACAGTGGGATACAGGAGGGTCAAACACTCCTCTTAACCCTCCACTCTGCACTTAACCCTCAACCATCACATAACCCAAACCGCCCAGGACCGCAGATCACCGCCAGGCACACTGCCTTCCACAGTTGCATATTGAGGTGGCAACTGGGCTCATACCACAAAGCGCCAGAGATTAGTTCACCCGGGTGGCTTGGCATTACCTAGGAGCCGGGTCATTCGTGCTCACTTCCCCTTCCTCCCCTGCACCTCTCACAGGCTGAGGGATCACTGCCCAGCTCCCTTCTGCTCGTGATCCTCTCTGTGTCTGCCTCTGCTGCTTCCCTTTCAACTTGGATTAGTGTCCCATAGATACCTCTGCTTTTGATTTATCAGTGATTAAACAGCTTTTCCGGGAAAGTGCTGGTTTTGCCTGTTCCTGCTTTCCGGATCCCTTGTAATGCCACTCCACTGTCCTAGACCAAACTCAGCCACACTCCGCTCCTATAGATTTGTAAGATGTGCAGGTCCCTGGGCAGCTCTGCTGAACTGCCAGCATAATACAGACAAAGCCATGGAAGAAAGAGCACCCATGGAGCCCCTGCCCTATGCTGCTTTTTGTGTTGCAGAAGAGCTGAGCACCAAAAACAGTGTTGAAAAACACGTGCCCCAAGAAAGTTGTATTTGAAAGTGGTCCATTTGAAAAGTCTTCTTAACTACACGGTGTTTACTGCAGTCAAACAACATGGCTCCCTGCATTGAGCAGGGAGGTTGAAAGAGATTTCTTCCAAGGTCCTTTCCAACTCCGTGATTCTCTGATGATAGCAAAATGCTTCTCTCTATTTAAAGTTGTAACCCACAGTGTTTGAAAGCCTTGGGTCAAATAAAAGTTGAAATGAAACATCTAATCCTTCTGAACAAACTAAAATATGGTATTTTGGTGACATTTAGTCAAAATCATTTCTAAATGGAGACAACTTCGCTTGTAAAGACCCATTAATGTGAATTGGAGGGTGTTTTTATAGAGCTCCTGAACTTATGCTGAACCATTTGCCATGGGCACACTGGATTCCTGGTTGCATAACACCACTAAGCTCTGGGAAGAAATACTGTGCCTGTAATTAATCTCTGCAAATCCCACTGTAGCCACACACAAGTGTGATAACACACCAAGTGCATTTTCCTCCCCAGTTCACACAACTAGAGGTTTACTTGCAGATGCATATTGAATAGACCAAAGTACGCGGATTTA